CATAGCCCCAGCCAACACCCATCAACGTGGTCCACGGCCTCGCCTCAGTGATGAACTGTATAGCAGTGGAGATATCATCGCTGTCAGCTGCTGAAAATAACCTACATAACATAAAGTGGCTTAAGTCGTCCTACGATCACCATCTGATTCTTCTCCTAAAAAACAAAAAATCCAAAACAAACCCAGACCCATTTCTTAATTACGTATAACAAGTGCAATATTGAGTCCAAGATACCAAATTTCCAACACACTCCTCATTATTTCAAGTTTTCAACTACAATTCACAAACAGATAGATGATCCTAGCCTCACTGAGTTTAATTGAGTTGAGTTGAGCGAGTGACACATACCGTGGCGTGGTGAGAGGCGACCCGGCGCAACCCCTAGGGTTCATAACAATCGGAAAGCAGCCTCGCCTGAGAGCTTCGCACACAAAGGACCTGACTTTCCAATCCATACTACCCAGGGCCGAGCCCGGCACGATAACCAAGGTGGTGTCCAAACCATGTTCCTCTTTGAGGTCCAAATTCGCAGGCCAATCAAGAGATATGACCCCTCCATCGTCCGTGCCCACGCAGAGTCTCTGATACTCCAATTTCTCCTCCACGCCACTCTCTGTGCGGTTCCTCGAATCGAATTGAATTCGACCGCTGTTGAGCCTGACGAAGTGCCTGTCCTCCTTCACCAACTTCTCGTTCACGTCTTCCAACAACTCGCTCCCCTGGAACGATATCGACGGACACCTCAGGAGGACGAAGCGATTAAAAGGCGTCGGACTGGTGAACAACACCCACTCTCCGATATAGAAACCGGATTGCTGCTTGGCCCAGCCGGAATTGGAATTGGCATTAGAGAGGTAGAGGGTGGCGCCGGAGATGAAGCCGAGAAGCGGAGCGATGAGTTGGAGGGAATTAGGGGAAGGGAATTGGGAAATGAAGTCGTGGAAAGGGTTTCCGTTTCCGATTCCGAGTTGGTTTCGCGGGGCAAGTTTGAGTCTTCGGCGACGGTAGACCCGGAACTCGCGGATCTGGAAAGCGTGTTTGAGGAAGAAACGAGGAGTGATGGTGGAGTGAAGGTTAGTGTGATGGGTGCAGTTGGAGCTCAAATTGATCATTTTTTTTTTGGTTTCGGAGAATTCGGGTTTTGAAAATTCGAGTTTATAATGAAGAAGAGATAGAGAATCAGAGATGGAGAGAGAGAGAGAGAGAGAGAGAGAGAGCGAAAGCTCTATAACTGTTTCTGTTTTGGACACAAAGGGAGTGAAAGTGAACGGTTGAGAAAGTCGATGGGACATGTGGGCGATGGTGATTGGTGAATAGAAGAGGCGGGAGGGAGCAAGCTGTTAGGTTGAACACGTCTTTTACCCGGAATGCAACCTCAACGGTCCATATTCTACGTTGCTTTGTCTTTTTTATTTTGGTTTTTGTATTTTTAATTAAAGAATCTTGAACGGTCCATATTTCTTATTTTTGATATTAATAATAAATATCAGTTCCGATCTCTTGGACCACAGGAGTTCAAGTAACATCCAACGGTTTAAAAAAGTTTCTTAAAAGGAGTGCAAGAGTGAGTGAATTGTTGAATTTACATCAAACGGTGAGCGCCCACAAATCTTTTAAACCTTTGTAATCCAAAAGATCGGGACAATTAATTATACTAAGATAATTTTGTTTATGTAAAAGTAGCCAATCTTATCTCCCCCTAAACTTTGTTTTAAAAAAAAGAAAAAAGAAGAAGATATAAACAATCTGCAAGCAGCCCAACTATATTCCTCCACTTATAATGGACCTTGATGTAGTAGGCCAGCTTATTTGAAATGAACAGCCCATCCAAAGGCCTCAAATGAAAACTCAAGTATGCAAGGAGGGTTCTTGTAAGTTCAATGATGTGCCTATGCTATGTCTTTTCAAATTTCTATGATGTACAGATAAATTAGAGGATTAATTAGGATGTTGGTAGACAACAAAACTGACATAGCCAGATTCATAACAAGATAATTGAGTCGATGATCTTGTTTCTATTTATTTATGTTAAGAAACCAATCAACATCTTTTAAATTTTATTTTTATCCAATCAGTAGGAATCAATTTCAACAAGTTTTTGTTTTTGTTGCTTAAAAAAAATATCAGATTAATTATATGGTTCATAATATTAGGCATAGATTTTGTTTATATGCAGTTTGTCACATATGTATACCCACCTGCAAAATATATATATAAGAGATTTTGAGATTGTGTCTCCTCCAACAGAGAATCAGATTTGCCTGTACTATTATCATCTCCACTAATTACATCATTTTCTGCTAATTGGGTTTGTCCCAACTTAATTGGGCATCATTCAACATTAATTATTGTATATGTAACATGACAAGATAATGTTCGGCGTTCATTAGTGCTTGCTTTATGTAAATTAGTTGGTCCAATTAATTAGGAATGTCAGATTAGACTAAGATTAACAATTGATAATGACTCCATTAGCACCCTAGTAGTTATGCATGAATTGAGTCCACGTGGGGCAGGTATGGGTGTGACAAATGTTACTAAGAATGTAGACATGGCTCAAATATTCTACGTCATGCCAAGTCCATGTGTTGTTCACATGTTCTTGCTCACCACCTGCCTTGTATCTTTAAATCAACATCAAATTTGACAAAAATGCCAAACCATATCATGGTTAGTAGGTATTAATTTGGATGTTTATGGTTCCCAACCTTATATTATATCATCTCCTCACGTTACCATAATGCATAAGCTCTCAGAAAAATTTCCTATGTTTAATTTGAGCCCTTGAAGTAGCAAAAATACATCTTTAAGTTTGCCTGCATTTCAAATATCAAAAGCCGACTGGATATCCGTCTCATTGTACCTAAATTCGATCCCCTTCTTCGACATTTAGACTAATTTATAATATCATTTCAAAACTCTGAAACCAACTAAACTTATATACAGTGTATTAAGTATTTAATCAAATCCTTTGTCTTTTCTGATAATGTTAAAAATGAAGGTTGTTACCGCTTACCGCCGGTTGGCGCCTACATTCTGAAAGAGGGGAGGGATGGATGAAGACCTTGAAAACAGCATTGCACATGTCTGTCCCTTTCACTGACATTTCTTTTTAATTAAAAACATAAATAGTAGAATTGTTCTTCGTTAATAGCGTTCGAAAATCATGGAGACCACCACCAACTTTCTAGTAACCCCTCATCCAACACATTTTTTAATAAATAAATTAGCCTCACTCATCTTTTTGTTTGTTTTTTTTTAATTTTTTTTATATTCAACACAGTTCGACGGAGCAAAGCCTGTGTTACTCTATTTCAGATGCAACCAGCCAAACTTTGAAGGCACATTGTTTGGGTTGATGACGCCTCATGTGCCAAACGGCGCACCTGGTTTTCCCTCGAGCTTTGCTGCCGTTATTATTCAACTTCTGCAATTTTATATCACAACTTCAAGAATTGTTATATGTTAAGGAATATTTTTTACTAAATATATGGTTTTTTTTTCTTCCAGGAAAATATATTGTTTGATATGTTATATTGTATGAATGTCAATTAACCGTTATAATTGATAAAATAAAGAATACATCACTTGATTAATAGATAGTGGGACTGACAAAAATATTTAATAAAATGCCTTCCAATAAACATTTTGTGGTTGCACATTTTTTTCCCTTAATATCGATAATATTGTCGAAATATTGAGGATATTATCATTTTTGGGGGAGAGAGATATTTTGGAACATATGCTTATAATTATCGATAATATCGGGGAAATTTTGACACTGATAATATCATTCAATTATCATCAACATTTGGTCAATATCGATAATATCACGATATGGACATAGAATAGAAAAATAAATAAATTTAAAAGGCTTATGAGTGCACATAAGGGGGATTTGAATCGCTGTCACTTCCATTCTTCCTTCAACACCTTATCCACCACACTGTTGATGGAAAAAATCTGAGACCCAATCTCATATCCATATATATAGGTGGCATGTTAACAATTACATACAAAATTATTTTGGGGATTTATCATTTGATGATTACTTTTCACAGTACATGTACTCTACACAGAGATGATAAAGACAGTGAAAAATTTGAACCTCGTAGGAACTTTATTTTGTACTAAGTCACTCATGTATCTTACCATGCAATTTATAAAATGTAATTTTTTTTAGTAAATTATAATAAATAAATTATTATGGTGTGTTTAATCTTCTCATTAATTATTATATATATATTCTAAACTCACAGTGTTTGTCAGCTCGCTATATAATTAATTTAAATTAGTCAAACCCACCATGCAATGCATGTCCTTCCAATTTTTTTTTTATAAAATAATAGAAAATTAACTAAATAAACATCATGTAAAGTTTCAATCAAATATTTCAAAATTTTCTTACAATTTCCTTTGTATTTATTCAGTTTTTACCGATGTCGATAATTTTTCGATATTTCCATCCATATTCCGGTATTTTTAGACCCCCAATATTTCCAAAACCCTCAATATTTTAGACCTTGATTCTAACAAACTACTCTTTTGATGAATAAATAAATAAAAAATTCCATAATAGTTCATTTAGTTGTACTTCCAACACGAGAATTGACCGTTCTCCTTTTTTCCTTATTTGTAAAAGTTACATACATATCCCTTCAATCTTCTAATACACTCACATATCAACTAACTCTTAATCTAGTGTCTAATATTAAAAGAAACTCTAAATTCGGATCCCCAATTCATTTAAAATCTCATATAAATTATAATGAAATTCCTTTTATTCACTTCCAAAAGAAGAAGAAAAAAACATTTTAATGGAATTACAATGACACCCCTCCCCCCTCACCTAAGTTCCCTTTAAATATGAACCTTCTTTCCCCTTTCCAAATCCTCCAAAAGCAACACACTACTCTCTCTCTCTCTCTCTCTCTCTCTCTCTCTCTCTCTCTCTCTTGGTTGCTTAGGAAACATTCATTTAATCTAAAACATCATCACCATGGCCAAAGGTGGGAAGCTAACAAAGCTCAAGTCAGTCCTCAAGAAGTGGAACTCATTCAGCAAGCAGAACAGCCGCCCAAGCCTCAACTCCGTAGTCTCCCCCGACGATGACTTCTCCTCGTCCCCCGCCGTTATCTCAGCCGACCTCCGCCCGGTCTACGTGGGCAAGTCTCGACGACGCTACCTCGTAAACTCCGACGTCGTAGACCACCCGCTTTTCAAGGAGCTGGCGGACAGGTCCGGGGACTCAGACGACCAGACAATCAATGTCGCATGCGAGGTGGTGCTGTTCGAGCACTTGCTTTGGATGCTCGAGAATGCCGATCCTCAGCCCGAGTCAATGGACGAGTTGGTCGAGTTCTATGCCTGCTGTTGATGAGGAGGAAGTAATATTATATGTAATGCTATAGGTGACTGAGGAAAATAATGAGTAAGAGAGAGAGGTGGGGGTGATTCTGTGTGGTCATCTGCACAGTAGAAGGTTGTACATTGTTGATAGATCGAGTGGAGAGGAGGATCAAAATTGGTTTGAGATTGTGTGATTTGATTGCACGGTTGAGGATGATTAACCCAATATTTCACATCCATCTCTGGGCTGGTGGGGAATTCGTTACTTCTGTCATTCTTCTTTGTTCATTCTATTCTAAAGATTTATGAATATATATATAAATATTAATGTTTATTTCTTGTAGTTTGATGATTATTTTATGTAGCATATATCACACCTTCTAACTTGATGTGGTTGGAATGTAATTAAGCCAACTCCGCATAATCTACAATGTTATTATTAGTTAGAACGCGTATTTTATTAATTACATAATTGATTACATCTCACGACAACGAGATCTATACGTGCTTATGCGACAGTGCGGTACATGTAGTATGTGGTATATACGTCCAAAATAATGCCAACATTGGAAGAAACTATATAGTACAACCATTTAATTATTTTCCTGTTCGAAGTTCCTGGCCACACATAGTAACTAGGCAGTCAGTGGTACTTCAGACATTATCTAAAGGATAACAAGCTAGCTACGATTTAATTACCAAGTGAAATTCAATTAGTTACTCGAGTGCTGAGTGAAGAGCACGTATATTCTTAATTTGTGACAATTTTTGATAAATTTTATGTTACTTAGCGGTGAAGAGAGATTATGCAACTTTACATGTGGATAAGTTTGGTCTGACGACAACAATACGTGGTCCTTTGTATTTTTATGTCGCAAATGGGTCCTGCGCGGGGGTTTTGGAGCCATAACATGATGTGGAAATTGACAATTGGGAAGGAAGAGCAAAACATATTGGCTATCTTTAAAATTCCGTGCGTATTAAAATGGTTTTTTATCTCCTGTCTTTTTAACATCACCAACAACAAAAATAAGCAAACGACAACAAATCCTTTTGAATAAGACAAGACCGGTTTGTAGCCTTAATTAAATAATTCAGTGACAGTGGAGACTAAGCTAACCACGTATCACGTCGGAGCTTATATTATAATATCTCTTTATATTTTATATTAACATTAAAAACGTTTATTCAAAAGAATAATGAATTCATATAATTAAAACCCACCAGCAAAGGTAGCTTGGGTTTGGATGCTAACCTCCTTTTTTCTATAACCTATTTATTGAGATAAATAGAAAGAAAGAAAAATTGCGAGAATTAATTTTTTATGATTAGTCTCACATTTTGTGCGTAAGAGGCTGTCCGCGCAAGACTTATATCAAAATATTTTATAATTATATTTTTTGAATTTAGAAGTCAATTCAATACAAACATATTTTTAAAGAGCATGTAGAATAAAAAAAAGTAAAATACACCCTTGCAACTAACCAATTAAAGGTCGACCTACCTTAGAGAAACACTGAAATGGTGCTAAAAAAAACTTAAAAAAAAGAAAGAAAAAGAAAGGCCCTGAGAGACAGCAGGGAAGTCAACAACTTTACAGGAAGCACACCTTTCGGCAGAAACTAATATTAATTCATAATTAAACTTTGATACGATTATAATAAGCTTGCATTGAAAAATATTCCTACACATAAAGTCATCAGAAAAAATGCTTTTGCGTATGGTTGAGGAAGCTAGGCTAATGATTAGGTGGTTAGAGAGATGCCTTTGCGATCGAAATAGATATCATAGAACCACACGCTTAGTGTTTCTTGTTTGATTTGTTGGGTTTTGGAGGAGAAAAAAAGCGCTTTTATTTCAAGTGATTGAAGACTTTAATTACATACGAAAGTGGATGACACAACAAAGCTTTGTTGAATGCGTGCATTTGGTAGAACCAGAAACGCGTCGCCAAGCTGTGATTGCCAACCCGTAAAGCTCTTAAGTCTTAAGTCTTGAGTATTTATAGCTTGCTTGTTTCTATACTGTCTGTCAAAAAGGTCATGAATAATTAAATTAGAGTTGGAATCCAATACCCCTACTGGTTTTTGCGTACTATGATTTGTTTAAGCGCTAATTAAGCTTTGATTGAAATGTAGATGACATAGATTATGGGTAATTCATTTTAGTTTGGGATGTTACACCAAATCAATTACAATAAAACTAGTTGATAACATTTGAAATTCTAGAAAGTGTCCTAATGACAGACTTTAGAGACATAACACAAGAAAACAAAACAAAAAGTCTAACTTTATTCTCACTTATAAAAATTCTGAAATGAGTTGGAATTTAAAGATTAAGGCCCCGTTTGTCAGGAGGATTAGACTCGATTAGACTAGATTAGCTAAATGCCTATACTTCATGTGCAATCAAGGCATAATATGGATATTGTTGTCTAACTTGGAGGATGAATGAGGACTATTCATAAGAGGTTGGTGACTAAAATGTATCCCTCACAATCCCACCATTTTCAAGGGAATTAGGGGGATAAGGTTTAGTCATCAACCTCTTATAGATTGTCCTCATGCTTCCTCCAAGTTAGACAATATTCATATTGTGCCTTCAACGGACATGAAATGTAGGAATTTTTCTAGTCTAGTCTAGTCCTCCCTAATAAACAAGCCGTAAATGCCTTATATCTTACCCAAGAAAAGAAGATTAATGTCATGATTTTATGTGATGAAAATTTTGCACTCTTCATGGTATGATCATTTAGGTTAACCTGTTCTTTGTATGCTTTTCAATCTAAGTCATTTATTTGCAACATGGCGATTGGATTTAAAGTGAAAATAATACCAAAACAATCAAATTATAAATAAGGAAAAAGAGAAGAAATAAGATGCAAACTTCTAAGACGTGCTAGAAAGTTGGCATAAAACATCACTTTGAGTTCAACAATATACTTCATCTGATAAAGCCGTTTTAACGGTTGTTCTCTCCCTAAACCCTATATTTGTTCGGCACCTCTCATAAGCACCGGTCGTTACGTTTTGAACGACTGACATGAGGCCGTATGAGACTGAAATGCAGAGGACACGCCTGTGATTGCGAGGGATGCCCAACGAGTGACGAGGTCCACCCCAAAAATTTCCCATCAATCAAAGGACTAACCCATTAAATACTCTACGCAAAATTAACTTAGGGGCGAAAGGGTGAAAAGACTAAGGTACCCCTAACCATGGAGCCGCCTCAGCTGTTAGGATCGGAAGAGGACAAAACGAAGTTGCAGAAAGAGACGGCCGTTTTTCTCGGCTTTAGATGATATGGGGATGGCCCCCGGTGTCCCAATCATCCTTGCAAGTGATTTTGTTGTTATTTGGTGACTGGACAATTGATCGTGCATACGAGGGTATTTATGTCATTCTGTCCGAAGCCACCACCAGAGTCAGGCGCCAAAGACCAGCCCACGTGGGAGTGGGTCGTCAAAATCGGATTTGGCCTCTGAACGGACCACCCCCTCACCACTCTCCATGTGATGCATGGAATTTTTGTCTCCAAATCCTATGAAAATTAAAACTCATGCCTCAATGAATGAAGAGACCGTATTCTTTTTAGTCAAAAATCAACTTCCACTAGAAACCCTTTTGCATATCAAGCTGTTCTTTATCATGCTGTTGTTTTTTTATGTACAATTGACTGAATTTGTAACACAATTTGAAGTGTGCGTGTGGAAAAAGTAAAGCATAGTGATTTTGACATTCCTCGTTTAATTTTCGGCACTTCAATAGTAATGGTTTAGTATTAGAAAGTGATTAAGAGTAATTATTTATGCACCTAATTATAAACAGTGTTACGATCACAATTAATAAAAATTTCCAAATAATGGATGAGAGAATGGAAAGAAATGATTGGTACAGGACGACCTAGAGCATATATAGTAGAAAGTGGGTGTGTGGGGTTCGCCCTATTAAAGCAAGAGGGCAGGAGAGGACACAAGGAAGTGTCCCATTGAAGAGCCATGCAGTCAGAATCATGCAAATTTATAAGAGCCACGAGATGATATAGTGTGAATGGGAATTGATTATGAAGGGACCTCTGCCTGCTTGTTTCCACAAATGAGGCTCATAATAAGTATAGCCATATATTTTGCTCAATTTCTGAAGTGATATAAGGCTAACACTTGCGCTTTGTGATGCTACTTGGACGAGCAGTTTTATATGAAAGAATTCAAGGAAAAGAAAGTTTCTTTTAAAAAAAAACAAAGAGAAGAGCAACGACAGCATCTGTACCTGCAGAAAGGTTATTTCAACTCAACGATTGTTAGGCACAAGGCTCCAAAACCGTAAAACCAAATTATTATTATCAAAGACATGACATGTGATGTTTCAAATCTGAAATTAAATCCCCCCACGTTACCAAAACTTTACCACTATGTCCAAAATCAGTGGGTTCCGTTTCATTCATTCATATACTCTCTCTCTCTCTCTGCGCGCCTAGCCTGGTTAACTCTCAACTGAAACAAAGACCCAAAAAAAGTCAAATAAAAGAAAAAGGAAGGGACCATTTTTTATATTTTGAGGTGGATGATATCATGGCCATGCATGCATGATATATCTACTAGGATTTGGATTGGATTTCGATGATGAGGCCAAAATACTTACATGTGCTGTTACCTTATGTTCAGGATATATATATATGTATCAGATTTACAGATAAATTATATGTACACCATCACCATGTCTAGCATGTTATCAGAACCATTCAGCTTTGTGCACTGCAGTGCAGCCCATACCAGAAGGCTGCTAGCTAGAACTAGGGTTTCATATGATATGTGTATATATAATTGTATGCTTTGATCAGCCTGTTGTGTTGTCATTTGAAAGGGAAATGGGTATGTTGGGTAGTACTAGTGAGGCACCATACTCTATAGCTTCTAGGCTTCTAGGCTTCTAGGCTTAGCCCTGGTGTGTGCAGGCATATAGGCTTAGCTCTTTCCAGTTGGCTCTACAGATTAAATATTGTCCATATACATGCACCGTTTTAAGAGAAGTATTGTGCATGCACTGTTAGGAAAACAACTGGATGTATCTGATACATCATCACGATACATGCAACATGCTGATTTTTAGTATATATTATATATGGCTGGGGTTGGTCTGCCAAGTTGAGGAAATTAGGTATATCCTTATTGTCTAGTTGTTCGATCAATCAAAATAGCATTCACAGAAATGTTCTAACATAGATTAGCAACGAACATTGAAGAGATAGTATTATAGATTCATTAATTTTGCCTTGGTTTCAAGTTTGAGGGTTCCATACGCAATATTTTTTTTTGTGTGGTCGAATCACACTTTCATTAAGCGAAAGGGAAAGGAAGGAGACAGCCCAACAAGCTGCAACACAACCAAACAGGCAGGAGCTAGACTAAACGTCTGTAAACAACCCCGGGCAACACTACAAAAAGGCCAAACAGACCAATCACACCAATCACACCAAACATTAATGTTATATATGTACGTATACGTAGTCATTTGATTGAAGGCAAAAAAAGAAAAATCATTGGAATATTTAGATTGCCCACATGAATAATAGTCTATAGCTAGCTAGGCTGCCCTATAGTTAGCGTCCCATTCTCTTCCTTAATTGTTTCTCCATCCATATACCCTGTTCTAAAACTCAGTGTCTATACATAGAGCTAGGAATTAAACACACCGGCCCATCCTCATCGCCATGCCTACATTTACATGCACTACTGTTCACCCCAGAAGAGAGATGTGGGACCAGACACATTTAAGCAGTGTTCTAGCCCCTCTTTGTTGGATCAGAGTCAGCACGTAGGTTTGCTTGAGGCCCAAGTAACAGGCCCTAAAATATCCAAATTGTTGTATGGGATAAGCGTGCCACTGTTGGAACTTGGCTCAGTCCAACAGAAAGAGATTGATTGTGATTTAAGAGTGTGGTTCATTGTTTTGCGGATTTAATAATCAAGCCATAGTGATCTGAATGAGGAACTTCCTGATATTAGTTCTTTTCTATGCCTTGTATACTTTATATGCTCGTTTACTTCAAGTCTTGAAGGACCACCTCTTTATCGGGCTAGACGATAACCCCTTATCGGGCTAGATATAAGCTTATCAGACTAGATATATCTAGCCAATTTCTGGTCGGTTTCTAGTTCGATGAACAAGAAAGTAAATGCAGAAAGCTAAGTAAGTGCAGATAAACTTAAATTCGGATGAGATACAACATATTATAGGTCATCTTTCTAAGATTATCCCTACAAGTGTTCCAAAAAGCATAGTTTGTTAGGTAAAATTGAAACATAAATGCGGATTATCAAATGGCCAAACAATTTCCAACTTAACTAATATTGTAATAATCCGTAAAAAAGAACCTAAAAACTAAACGGTTCCGATCACGAATTTATAGCCCATAAATAAAATGTCCTTATTTCAAGAGATCTTTGCATTCAAATTCCTACAACTATAACGTTCAACTTTTGAAAATAGTAGTAAACCAACAAGACCAAGAAATTTGATCAACGGTCTTGTTGACATGTCCAGCCTTTCCTGTCTTGTCTAGTCTAATACCAATCTTGGGCTGGAATTTGCTTTTTTAGCCCAACCTCTACGACCCTTAGATGATGTCTTATCTTTTAACTGTTGTATTAGGCTAATCAATTTGATCTAACAGTTAAAAGATAATGCCTCACCTAAGAATCATATATAAAGCCCTCACTATAGAATTCTTGTCTCGCAGCTTAGCTTTAACCTCTATCTCTATGTCATCAGCTAAGCCCATGAAACGTAGCCCAAATACATGTAAGTAAAGGCAAACGCTGTTTCCCGGAGAACATTTGCTATATTGCGCGTGTCCAAAAAACTGCCACTCTCCTACCAAACCCTTCCCCCTTTCCTTCTTAAGTTACAACTTACAAGACATCAACTCTTACTTCTTCTCTTTGCCCACCCAATCCCTCCTTTTACCCAAAACCCCACAACCTCTTTGGCACTCATAAACCAGCATCTACCTTAGATGTTTACCTATCACAAATCCACTCTCACATATAAGTTCTCGATCGTATACAATGTTACTTTCACAAGACTAATCGTGTAGTCCTGATCATGTGGCTTTGTACATGTACACAACAAGAAGATTAACGTGAGAGAATTGTGTGCAAGACCAACACAGCTAATAAATATATTCATATACAAGAATCCAAAAACTCGACTAAAGCCAAACCCATGAAATTCGGGAACAAGCTGCACGCATAGCTTTGTGTCTGTACGTCTCATTCTCTGTTCCTCCTATAAAACCCTTCCCATCCATCAATCAATCAATCAAATCACACCAAACCTCCATTTTCAAGACCTAAAAAACCCACAACACCCAAAAGAAACCCAAGAATTCACTAATGGCACCATTTCTTGCTCCCAACCTCATCACCATCATCATGATCACGATCATCACAACCTCACCGCAACTCGTTCTGACTCACCCGAACCTCATCCCTCCCCACCTCTCCCAACTCGACACGTGGATCGTCCACAACATTAGGGACTACGCCAACCGCAAGGCCACCCAAGCCACTCTCCGCTTCGACTCTAAATTGCTCTCGGCCGAGTACGCCGTCAAAATAATAACCGTCAAGAAAGACGGCACCGGAGACTTCAAAACAGTCACTGACGCCGTCAACAGCATTCCGTCGTGGAACACGCGTCGCGTCGTGCTGTTCATCGGCGGGGGTGAGTACAGAGAGAAGATTCTGGTCGACGCGTCGCGGCCGTTCTTGACCTTTTACGGGGATAAGAACGACGTGCCGTCGATCACTTTTGACGGCACGGCGTTGAAGTATGGGACGTGGGATAGTGCCACGGTGGCAGTCGACGCCGACTACTTCGTGGCCGTCAACATTGCGTTCGTGGTAATAATAATAAAACGTTATTATATGACTTGCCGTTTTGCTAAGATTAATTCTGATGTCGTTTTTCATCTCTGCATGTGCGTTTTAATTCACATTGCTTTTGCTCTCTGCAAGCTGTTACTTTGAGAGAGAGAGAGAGAGAGAGAAAGAGAGAGAGAAAGAGAGAGCAAAATGGCAAGCTTGCCGTTTTTGGGGATTAGTTTGAGCGATGAGGTCATGAGGGAAATGGAGAGAGAGAGAGAGAGAGAGAGAGAGAGAGAGATTAGAGTGGTAGAAAATGTGAAGACAATGGCTATAGCTAGCTATTATTTAAGATCACTTTCCCTAAAATGGATTTAGAGTGTTTGGAGCGTTTTGGTTTCGCTTTGAAAACACTGCAGATGCATAAGCAGTGCTAAACTTTCTTTAATCAAACTAATTGCACACTTAATATGATCAAGGAAATTATATATATATATTATGATATTAATTGTTGGTTGTTTGATTTGGTGAATAAAATTGGCCAGTACTGTAAAACAGCATGAAATGCTCATGTAGCCATTAAAAGATGGCAGCTTTTTGTAATGAGAAAGACAAAAGCCATAATCATATAGGCAGTGTAAAGCATGTGACCATTAGCTTCAATATGAATAATTAGCTAGCTACCAGTTTAATTAATGATGAGCTCTGGAATTGTATTCATCCTATCTATTTATTTCACACATGATTTACACGCGGCATATGCATATGCATGGTTATTCTCTGTGTGTGTAGAATTCGGCTCCAATGCCGGACGGGAAGAGGCCGGGGGCTCAGGCGGTGGCGATGAGAATATCAGGGGACAAGGCAGCGTTCCACAACTGCAGGTTCATAGGGTTTCAGGACACGTTGTGTGACGATAGGGGGAGGCATTTCTTCAAGGACTGCTACATCCAAGGCACCGTTGATTTCATCTTCGGCAATGGCAAATCCCTCTACTTGGTAATTCATTAATTATTTAACCCAATTAGAGTTTTCATAATTAAATCCAGATATAATCATACTTATTAATATTAAAATTGCAGAACAATAGGATACGTTCAGTGGCAAATGGAATGGGGGTGATAACAGCACATGCAAGGGAAGATGCGGCAGACGACAGTGGGTTTGCCTTTGTGCATTGCAACATAACAGGTACAGGTGACACATTTCTTGGGAGGGCTTGGAGGGACAGAGCTAGGGTTGTGTTTGCTTACACGAACATGGGATCTCTCATCAACAGCCAAGGATGGTCTGACGCCATGCACTCTGAGCGCGACAAGTAAGCACCATCCTAATTTATACACAACTTATTTTGAATTATGGATAACATGTTCCAACAAGAATTATAATATGATGATGGTTTGCTTTTTATAGGACTGTGTATTATGGAGAGTACAAGTGTATGGGACCGGGTTCGAGCTCAACGGGTCGGGTCAAGTATGCAAAGATGTTATCTGATGAAGAAGCAAAGCCCTTCCTCAGCATGACTTTTATCAGAGGATCAAAGTGGGTTCTCACACCTCCCAAGCTCTGAACTTTAGATATATAAATGTATCTTGTTGTACTATACTAGTGTATCATTTCATGCATTGGCATATCAATGTAGTAAATAAAGCATTGCTAGGTAGAAGGAAGAAGGTAACTAGCAGCTAGTCTTATATAAATGTTGTATGTAGGTAGGTTTGTAAACCTTGTAAGAAAGCAGGTTCTGCAGTGAAAATTGGGGTTTATATGCATACCAATATTTCAGGTTATTTATTTATTTTTATTTTATAAATATCAGTTCATATATTTGACTAAAATGAAAATTTCAGAGAGTTGGGTGAACAGAGGAAACTTTTGGGTATTTTTTATTTTCTTTAATCTTTGAGCATCGATCTAAAGCCGACATGTATAATATAATCGAGAATCCATAAAAGACTAAAATTCATTGAAGGAATGAGCCTTTTAATTTGAATGATTAGTTTTCTATGATATCTATTACATACATGATCCTATTACGCCGGAAAAGCTTCTTTCTCTCAAGAAAGACTTTTATGAAACAGAGATAACACTATTTTGTTATCCTTAGCTAATAATGCTATGACATGTGACAACACTTCCACGTGACATAGCATTATTGACTGGAAATAACAAAATAGTGATAACCCTGTTGCAACCAAGTTTTTTCTCCTTTCTCTCCCCTTAATTGTGCTTGCACAGTTGTAAATGGATTCAAACAGTTTAATTAACCTTTGAATTTAATCTGATCCCAACAATATTACAATTATATACATGTGTATATATCATTCCTAGAGGTGGATTGCTGGACTCTACACAAGTGGGTCATGTCCTACAAAATTTGAGTTCTTTTAGTAATGAATGAGGACCAAATCTATGAATTATGAATAACAATGAGGCATTAAAATAATGCCTGCAATTTGATTTAGTCCTTCACATGATAACTGCCATCAGATTATATACATAATATTGAACAAGACCTTAACAACTACCAATTAAAAACAATTATGAATTTTAATGATTGTGATCCTGGAACCATGTGCAGGCAGATTGAGACAGAGAGAACATTATGGTACATGGAGTGGAGGCCTTCACATTTATGCATGTGCCAAGATTGAGAAAATGAGAAAGAATCAGATATGTCTGCATAATAATATTTAGGGCAACAGACACTTGAAGATCTCTCATTCTTAAAGAGTGAAAGCAACTATGTATATATATATATACATAAATTACGATAATAACATGCGGACATCCGGATGAGATATATATATATATATATATCACTTGAAAATATTCTAGAATTTGTCTATCAGAGCCATATATTAATTAGTAAATTAAGTAATATTGGCATATATTTTAGTGGAGAGGACAAATGTGTTTCATACTTGATCAAACATCAGATGTAGGTCACATTCAATCAGAGAAAATAATCACCATTCTATCACCAAATTGGAGGCACCACCACAGCATCAAAATATCTAACTAAACAACTTCTCCTATTGTTTGTTAATTAAAAACAAAAAGAGAAATAAAAAAAGATGTCTGCATACAAGGAGACCCTGCTCTTTACAACACAGAAAATCAGCCCTAAAACCTGGACCACTAAGAACATCATCACAATTACTAACTCTTCATTGAATGAGTTTCCAGTTTCCAGCTGCAAAAACCACCAATAAAACCAATTATCAAATGGAAAACGGATCAAGGGGCTATTTCAGAATTCAAATTCGACATACAAAAAGATGAAGTGATTTTCACCTGGGCTTTCTTCAGGGTGAGCGTTCTGATGATTCTCCATGCACTTCAAGAGGTACTTGAAGGTCTCAGTCTCACATGGGATGGTGAGCCCGCCACTATGATCAAACCCAAATTCCTCCTCAGCCTTCTCCAGCAATACTTTGAAAAGGGAGTGGCTCAGGTAGCTAGTGGGAATGATGAACCTCCGAAGCTCCGGTCCAACATAAACCGCCAAGTACCCTTCGGGAACATCTGCTGGCGGTTCGGGACTGTGGCCGTTATCCTCGTCCGAATCACAAATAATATTTGTTAGCCTCTTGCTAATTGCCGGTGAAATTCCCCCGCGATTTCGATCAGAACGGGGAGTGCCCTCCTCTATATGGGAAGCGCCTTCCCCTCGACGAGGAGTGCCCTCCCCTCGATCAGAGCGGGTGCTGGCTCGGGGGCTGTTTGCCCTCGAGCCAAGCGTGACAACTTGCCACTTCTGCAGGATTTCTTTGAACTTGACAATCTGCCTGATCCCGGTCAACTTGCTGCTACCATTGTCATTCATTGCTCGATGTTTACCACAATTGTTGAAAGAATCCCAACACAGAATATAGTGTCCGATTCCAGACAACAAGGTCTCATCAGATCTTGCACTGTGAAAAAAATAATTCAAATCATCGTCATTATAAGAAAACATACCAAATCCACCAAGTTCCCAACTTCAACCAGTTCCTCATTGATTTCTAGGATTATAGCAACATGGGTAATTTTTTATGTTTCTGAAAGGGAAAATCTTTTTTTTCCTTCCTTCTGAAATTTGAATCAATACAATAGTACTTCATCTCAATTCTTCATTTTTGGGCTAACAAAGAGTCAGATTTGAATCACTTTATCAAATCATAAGTGTCTAACAAAATTAAAGCAAAAGGAGAGAGAGACAAGGAATTTGTCTCTCTCTCTAGGAATGGAAATTTCAGTTCCATGTCAAATGCATCAATGCTGCCTATATACATATCATTAAGATCTGTCAACTGGAAAACCCAATTCCTCTATCAACACAACTTGCATGTATAATGGTTCAGAAAGAAAAAAAACCCATCAACCCAAAACACCAAAACCATCAAACAGTAAGTAAAATGCACCAGATGAAAAGAAACTGACAATTCAATTTCAATCCATGAACACAAATATGAACAAACATGTAAATACGTGTTATACAAATATTTATGTATGAATATGTAGAATTGTAAATACCCGAGGATGGGGAGGATATCAGCTGCAAACCCGAACAAGAAACGCCATGGAGCTTCGGAAGGATATACACAGAGCGAGCTCTCCAAACAGAGAGATAAATTTTTTTCAAGGAAGTCTAAGTGTTTCTAATAATATTGACAATAAATCCCATCCCAAAGAGAAAATGGAAAATGAAGTTGGGAGTTTTTTACTACTTCTGTGTTCCCATCAATTTTCGGAGGAAAATTTTCCTTTCTCACTCGCTCCACCTACGATTTCGGTGGACTCTGTTTTTTCTGTTTTCCTGGCAACCAAACAAACCTAACGGCCTCTTCTAATTCTATAAACCCAAAAACAGAAAAAAAACAAAGATAAATACAAATATGGATGAATATATATTTGTAATGTTGGTGAAGTGGAAAATGAAATGAATAGTTGCTGTTGTTGTGTTGTTTGTGAGTGAGGAGGAAGGATGAGAAGAGATCTTAAGAAAAGATAGCAGAGCACCTTTATAGCCATGGCTTTTGACTTTGAACTTTGTTGATTGAATTTACAAAATTTTATTACGTGTCGTGTGAGTCATGGCATCGCCTTGCTTTTCTTCTTTCTGAGTTTTGCGTCCACGTGCTTGGAGGAATCTCCACAGCACAAGCGCCGCTTACTTGGGTCCCATGCCAAGTCATTACTGATCCTATTTGTTTTCTTATTTTCTTTTTAGTAAAATGGGATGGAAATTAACAATACTACACAAATGTTGGCAAAAAACGATAATTTGTAGGGGAGGGGTGGGCACAGTCCACATTGGATCGGTTTCAGTCCAAAATTGTAGTCGAATCAATTACGATATAACAGTTTAATTTGATTATGTTTTGGCAAATATCACGAAGGAAACCAACCAATTTAAGATGGTTTGATTCAATTTAGTTCGGCCTGTTGGAGCCTAAGCCTAATTCTTTTTTCTTTTGCATTATCCTACTTTCTTAGTCCAATTGCAAAAACAAAAATTCGGTAAACTAATATAGTTACAATTCAAAATTTAATAACTTTAAAATTTCATCAAACTTCAAATTCAAAAGACTTATCTCATTTTATTCAATGAAATAACTATACGTGCAAAATAAAAATAAAAATATAAGTAGATGATTCGGTTCGATTTATGCCGATTTGCGAAAGGAAGGGGGTTAGCATGTTTTTTTTTCTTTTTCTTCTTTTGTTAAGCAACAAAGCATTTGGTGAGTGGGCTCCATTGACAAATAGAACCGACCATTAACATTCGAGGACTTGAAGCAACTGGTCACCCACACCTCACATTACATTACTAAAAAGTCTAAAAAGTGTAAAAAGTGTATTAAAACAAACTCTAAAGAAAAGAAGACCAGCGAACGGTAGCGGAGAGAGAAGGGTGTTTGGTTGGTTGATGGGATTGGATGGTTGTGATACAAACAACAACAGGTATGCATGATCATTGCCAAAACCCCCTTTTATTTTCTTTATCAGACCAAAAACCCTTTCTACATGTGATTACCCACCCCACATTTTTTCCAATTCATACGTGTAAACTTTACATTTGCTTATTAAATAAAATATATATGTCTTAAGGTTCAAAAGTTCGACCGACCCTCTTATATTTTTTGTTTTGTTTCATGTTCATGCATTGGTTGAGTGAGATTATTATGCTCTTTCATCTCAAGTACATGAATTATCTTCCAAGGATAGGCGCCATATTTGTTGATAAGGATGGAGAGGAAAAACATGTTAAGCTTCCAAGTTATTAGAAGCTTCGTGATGAAATATATTGAAAAATGATGGAGTATTTTGGACTTGTTGAAAATTTAAGGGCTCGTTTGAGACTACTTCTTTATGAAGCATTTATGCTCATAAGTGCTTTTATTATAAAGATGTTGAAATTTTCATTAAAAATCGAAGTGCTTCTTGGAAAAGTATTTGGTAGTGCTTCCTAAAGAATCACATGATAGGTGCCTTCTCGAGAAAGAAAATATATGACCTAGAAGCACTTTTAGACTTTTCTGCCAGACATTGTTAGAAGATCTTTTGGTTGTCAGAAAGTGCTTTTAACCTTTACAAAAGCACTCCCAAATGAGCCCTAAGTGTTAAAGAAATTGTGGTTTTTAAACTTCTATTTGGGTTCACCTAAAAAATAAAAATAATAAAAAACACCATGTGTTTGCGTTTTAGAGAATTTTTTTTTTTAAAAAAAAGAGATGCTGGACTTGAGACACTAATTAGCCTTTGTGGTTAGGGAAGTTTTTCTTGTGATTTGGGCCAGATTGAGATGAATGATTTTCATACCATATTCAACTCCAATATCAAGTTAGCCCAAAAAGCTCATCAGCCTCCTAATTTACTTAATGCTAACAATGTGTCTAATGGTGCTATGGTAGCAATAGCATGTATGCATGGGATATCCTGATCTATAATTCTAGAACATGGCTTCACCTAATTAAGTTCCCTTCAGTTTTCATTGCAGGGAAATACAATTTGATTGAAAATGAACTCCTACATGCATATTGGTTTATATGTTCCTGGTTATAATTTATCTTTATTATTATTATTATTTGCTTAGGTTTCAGGCAATTTAGGGATTGGAGACATGCAAATAAAATGATCCGAAATGAGAAAGGACACGATTCACACGAAGTGACTTGAGTTTGAAGGATTAAATGACTTGGTGGAACACTAGGCTACTAAACTCATAGATTTTGTGTCACTGTCATTTCACGAGGCTTGCTTGGGAACCTAGATTTTGCCGCAGCCTGTCTCGGCCATCCATTTATGTATGCATCACCATCAAAATGTTCACATTAAGACATACATGCCCTTTTAATTTCTTTCTAGTTGATTGATAGGGTCTACCTAATTTACCAAAATGTTTCTCAAGAAATATCTCTTTTTTCGTTGCTTATTAGTACAATATTTGCAGTACGAGAGAGAGAGAGAGAGAGAGAGTACAAGCTAGGCCATAATGGAAATTATACTTTTCACATTACAGCAACAAGTTAATTAGAGTACAAACTGTCCGAATTTTTACAATTTGATGTCCTAACATTGACGAGAAAATTTTGTACTTGAAAGCTCTCGATGCATCTTTAATCAAAAAGTTTAAAGTCAATGAGTTGGTTGAGTTGCTTCTCTCATAAAAAACAAAATGTGGCATCTGTGTGCGGTGCCCGTGAGCTATGGCTTTCAGATGAGATATATAGATAGCATGCAAAAGTTTTGGACGACATGAAATTATGAAAAATCAAGCAACGGCTGAGGAGTGACATTCAAATTAAGTTCGACCTAAGCAATTTCATCATGTCATTCGTTACCTAACTTTATCTGAAAATGTTTCCCCGGAGAATCCCTTCTATTCAAGATTTGTGGCTCAATCTAAAATGTATTTAGACACAATGAATATCGGCTTAAGGTATGTTTAGGAATGCATCTAAAAATGACTCAGTACTTTTTGACAAGCGTTTAGTAAAATAACTTTAACTGTTTCTCAGTCATAAAAATATTTTCTAGAGAAGCACTCTAAAATATATGTTTATTTTTTTCTTAACGCACTTGGATCTTTAATAATTTGAACGTGACTCTAATAAAAACACTTCTAGCAAAAGCACTAATCAGTACTCCTAATAAAAGCATTTCCAAAAGACAACTTAGAGAACAGTGTAGGTGAAGGCAATGGTCAACTTCCAGCGCAACAAAGGAGAGCTTGTCTTGTCTTGTCTTTCTTAATTTGCAAGCTTACAGTACGAGCCCAGCTAGCATACTGTACGATCGAGTCTCTTCTGCTATTCATGGCTTGACGGTTAATCGCGATAACTCTAAAAATAGATTTAGTAACTTTTGTTCCTTGTTAGGCTAGCTAATGATGTCTTAAGATCTTAACTAATAATTAGTTTAGACGGCAACCGCGTTAGATTTAATGTAAATCTCAATTTGACCACGTCTTGACTTACATATATAATTAAACTTACATTAAGCAACATATATGGATTAAATTAGGTAAATACCAAATCTGTTTCACATGATTTTGGTGCGTTAATTAATTTCTTGAAGGGCACCACCAAATCACCAATCTCTATCTTGATGTGTAGTGTAAGTGGTAGGAAGGAGGAACTGCCTCATGGGCGGCAGGAGTGGAAGACACGAACCCTTTAAATAACAAGACTTAGCAATAAGATAAGAGAATCATATCAAACCCAAAAAAAATATACACGACGTTAAGTCAATATTATTCTGTTTTCCCTCTTTTATGTCATTTGAAATCATTATTTGAGAGCACCAACATATATATTGTCTACGGAGTCTAGCCCAATGAAAAATAACATTGGTTTACAGATCAGAGGTGTGAGAAACTCTCATTCCCTATAGTTTAGACTATCGCTTTTCCTCATAATAATAAAAAAACCAACATATGCATTTTACATTCGTGTTGTGTGCATGGTGTTGTGCCACATATGTGGTTTCTTCACACATATTTTATCCTCTTATTATACATAAGAAAATAAAGAATAGTATTAACAAAATTCATGTGGAACAATGTTTGGAACCTCACCGGAGCAGGAAATTAATTTGTTACAAAGATTACTCAATAACAAAGTCAATGAATTAATGGTAAAGTATTTAGTTTGTGAGCTATATTCCATCTCCGTATACATACTCTAATCTAAATTAATGGAACAAAACAGTTTTTGTTTGAACATGATCGAGGCATCACAACAACTATTAATCTAGTTAACATACAGGCTAGTGTGAAATTGATAGTTTCGAATTTTGAAGAGGCACCTGAGTTGAATGTGACGTGATTATGAAGTCACTTGTCCAAAATCTAAGGGAATGTTAACCTATTCAACTTGAAGCTATATGCTCTAATTAGATCCGACAGCAGACACCCACAATTTAACTTTCAACGTTCCAAAAGAGTCATTAGATCTGTATAGCTAAGAGTTTTAGTTCATACAATCAAAGAGTATATACAGTTCAAGCATCTTCCCAGATAGGGTATTTTTCTTAATCCAAGCAACAAATTCAATGAGAGTACAAATTAATGCATTCCGGAAAAAAAGGGTCACAGGAATCAAATCGTAGAGCTGAAAATGAAACTCAACAATCTCGGCAAATGACAGAGTCACATGCAAGTCTACGGTGGTCGTGACTTCCCAACCTACAAGTGTTTAGGGGGATGAAAAATCCTTCAACTCCAATCGACCTTCCATTTCTTACTTCAACATGACACCAAACCGGATATAGATACAATTTATCAATTACAGATACTTGTAAGATATGTATTAATTAAGTTATTTAGGTACGTATTAACTAGTCAAAAGAAATGATTAGATATAGAATAAAAAGAGGCATGCATGCATGTATGTTTTGGTTGAATGTGTGGACGGAAGTCTGAGGCTGACGGTTCAACAACAAGTCTACAAATAAGAGGTTAAAGTGTGGCATTGGATAAAAACAAGTCTCCGATTTCAGTGATTATTCAGTGAAAGCAAGAATCACCT